TGTTCGTCTTAAGGGACGGAGGGCCTCCTTTATTAGGCAGGGATTTTTTCTATAAGTATGAATTGTGTATAAACAGCATAAGAATGGAAGGTTTAGAAATGGAAATTTTTAGGGAATGTGAGAAGGTGTTTGCAAACACATTAGGTAAATTTACTAAAGGCAAAATAAAATTGAATTTAAAAGAGGCTGCCATTCCAAAATTTCAGAAGGCTAGAGTTTTACCTTTCGCAATGCGGGAAAAAGTAGAAAAAGAAATTGCGAGGTTAGTCGATATAGGAGTTTTGGTTAAAGTAGATTACAGCGAATGGGGAACGCCCGTAGTTCCAATTTTGAAAAAAGACGGATCCATTAGACTTTGTGGTGACTATAAAGTCACTCTCAACCCATCTTTGCAAGAGGAACCTTATCCTATACCACGAGTAGAAGAACTGTTTGCTAAGTTGTGTAATGGTAAACAATTTTCAAAAATTGATCTTTCGCAGGCCTACTCTCAAATCGAGTTAGATTCAGAATCTCAAATGTTGACAACCATTAGTACCCATAAGGGATTATTTAAATATACAAGGTTGCCATTTGGAGTCAGTTCCGCTCCCAAAAAGTTTCAAAAAATTATGGAGAGAGTTTTGCAAGGTACAGATGGGGTAGTATGTTTTTATGATGATGTACTAGTCACTGGGTCTACAAAAGAGGAACATGTTCGGAGATTAAAAGATACTTTAAAGCGTTTAGGAGATTGCGGTTTAACCGTACGAAAAGACAAATGTAGTTTTTTTCAGGAGAGTATTGAATATTTAGGATATCGTATAGATAAACACGGGTTGCATACGTGTCCTAAAAATATTAAAGCTATTCAGGAAGCGCCACGTCCTATAAATGTGACGCAATTACAGGGTTTTCTCGGGATGATAAACTATTATAATAAATTTATACCGAGTGCGGCAACGGTATTAAGACCGTTATACGATCTATTAAAAAAGGGGGTCATTTTTCAGTGGAATGCCGCATGTGAAGATGCATTTAAAAGGGTTAAAGACATTTTAACTTCTGCGGAGGTACTGATACATTTTGATTCAAGCTTACCCATCAGGTTAACGGTGGATGCCTCTCAATATGGAGTGGGAGCCGTAATTTCACATGTTACTGAGGGTAATGTCGAAAGACCAATAGCATATGCTTCCCAAACTTTATCAGAACATCAAATTCGATATTCGCAAATGGAAAAGGAAGCATACGCTATAATATTCGGGGTTCAAAAATTTTTTCAATATTTGTATGGGCAAAAGTTCACACTTGTGACAGACCATAAACCGTTAGTTACTATATTTGGGCCCAAAAACGGAATTCCCATTATGACGGCAAATAGGTTGCAACGTTGGGCATTAATTCTTTCGCGATTTAATTATAATATCGTATATGTGAAGTCGGACCAAAATGTTGCCGATGGTCTATCGCGACTTCCAATTAACGAAATTAGTGAATATCGAGACGACTACAACTATTTAAACTATGTCAATGATAATTTTACAGTGGATGTGAATCGAATCCGAGAGGAGACAAATAATGACTCTATACTAAGGGAGGTTAAAACATTTGTAAATCGAGGTTGGCCTTCGAAGGTGAGAGAGGAGTTAAAACCATATTTTAAGCATAAAAATTATTTATGTTGCAACGACGATTGCTTAATGTTTGGCTATAGGGTAATAGTTCCTCAAGCTCTTAGATCTAATATTCTCAGTGATTTACACTCCTCGCACATGGGCATTGTGAAGACTAAGAGTCTGGCACGATCTTTTGTTTGGTGGCCGACCATGAATCAGGACATTACAAATATGACTCAGCAGTGCCAGATATGTTTGCAATTCAGAGATTCTCCTCCTGCTGCTAAATTAATTAATTGGGCTTATCCGCAAGCTCCGTGGGAACGTCTACATATAGATTTTTTAGGGCCTATTGTGGGTAAAAATATTTTAATAATTGTAGATGCGTATACTAAATGGGTTGAAGCATTTTGTGTAAGTAGCATGAGATCTGAAAGTGTAATAGACATCCTACGAAGCTTGTTTGCACGTTTTGGCTTACCAAAATTTATCGTTTCCGATAATGCTGCTAATTTTACGTCGGAAATGTTTCAAAATTTTTTAAGAAAAAATGGAATTCAATTTAAACCGATTCCTCCGTATCACCCAAGTACTAATGGTGCGGCGGAGAATATGGTAAAAACTATCAAAAAGGCTCTTTTGAAAGCAGTAGCTGGGGAAGGACCGCATCACATTCAATTAAAATTAGTTAAATTCCTTTTAGACTATAGATGCACGGTCCATTGCACTACAAATAAATCACCAGCATTTCTTATGTTTGGTAGAAATATTAGAACAAGATTTGATCTGCTAAGGCCAGAAGTAACAATCAAGTCTGACAATAAATTTCAGGAAAACCTTAATAAGCAAGTTGCGCTAAAACTAGCCAACCAGCAAAAATATTATAAAGGTTCTAGGACTAAAGAGTTTCAGGAAGGGGAAACGGTAGCAGTTAGGGATTATCGTTATGCTAAACCAAGTTGGATTAAGGGTATTATAAAAAAGAGATTAGGTAGTAGAACTTACCTAGTTTCCATTCCTGAAATTCACAAGCAATGGCGCCGACATCTCAATCAAGTCATTAGTTACCATTACGGAACAAATGTTCAAGATGTTTCAAGTAATATTAAACCTGATCAGGAAAGTGAAAATGTCCGTAATGGTAACAAAATGACAGTTGCAGAAGTTGACAAACGTGCTGAGGTACAGCTGCCACCAAGGGTAAGACGACCTCCAGAACGTTTTAAGTTTTAAGAATTACCAATAGTTTTTTTTAAGGGTGGAGGTGTAGTAATTGTACGCATGATTGTAAGTTATCGCGCCAGACTGCACTCATGGATTATGGTTTTGATATAACATTGCATGTTTGGGTTTGAATAAATGAATATTACTACCCGGTTGACAACGTCCTGGGGGATGGGGATGATCACCGGAGAGCTGTCAAAGTTCCCGTTCCTGCCCCAGACCCCCCGGTGGTACGTTCTCGTTTCAAAACGTATAAAACTATCAATATTTGTGGTGGTCATGTTCCAGAGAGAATTCCATAGCCCAACTCCTCCAGGAAAATGAGCTTCCATAGATTTTCCAAAAAAATGATCACCCGCAGTGGGTACTGTGAATATCATGAGGAAAGTATACATAACCGGGGGGTCTGGGGGAATACCCCCCAGGGAAGAGAAACTGTAATGGCTCTTCCTCGAGAATAATAATGACAAGTAATGAGGACTGTAACTGTTGGGGTGAGGATGATCACTGGAGAGCTGTCAAAGTTCCCGTTGCTGGGGGGTATTTTGACCCCCCGATATTATATTCCCCAAAACGTATATGATTTTTCTTGTCTCACCCTCCGGTACTATGATCTTAGCCCCCTCCCCCTCCGCCACTCTCCAAAAGTAGAAGTAAAATCGAAAGCACGCTGAAAGAGCGACGGGATGTAGAGAAGTTTTGGAAGAGTTCGCTGGGGGGGGGGGGTAACTTTTAGAGTGCCACCGTTTTACAATCTCCTGAGGGGATATTCCATAGTCCCCCTGCTGCTATGATGTCACCCACTTGCAGAATTTCCAACAATTTTTCTTGTTCCAGGCTTTCTGTGCCACGGTCTGCACCCCCACCCCCCAAAACAACTAGAAGAAAAATAGAAAGCACTCTGAATGCGCGACGGTATGTAGAACTTTTGGAAGAGAAAATACTTTGGGAGAGTCTGGAATAACCCCCAGGGATATCAAAACAGTAACTTTCAGAGTGCCAATGTTTTACAATCTCCTGGGGGATATTCGATACACCCCGCCCCCCAAACCGCCGGTGCAATGTCATCCAAAGTGGTTGCAGCCCTTCACATTCTCATGCTAATACTTGCAGAATTTCTAACAATTTTTCTTGTCCCAGACCTTCTGGTCCCACGACCCCCCTAGAAGAACAAAAATCGAAGGCACTCTGAAAGTACGACAGGATGTAGAAGTTTTGGAAGAGAACGGACTGCCGGGAAGGGGGGGGGGGGGGGTATAATAAAAGTAACTTTCAGAATGCCATCGATTTACAATTGCCTGGAGAGGGGTATGGATACCCAGAATTTCCAATAATTGTTCTTATCCCACACTTTCTGGCGCCACCTCCCCCCTCCACCAAATTTAGAACAAAAAGCGAAGGCACTCTGAATTTTGGGAGAGCAGATAGCACAGAGGAGGCTGAGAAATAAGGAATAAAGGAAGAGAAAATTGAAGGTATTTGGAGAGCGCAGCGGAATATAGAAGTTGAGGAGAGAACGTTGCACGGGGGAGGGGGGGTCACCAGAGATTTTAAAACGATAACTTTCAGAGTGCCACTGCTCTCGGTTTTGGTGGTGTCCTCTGATGGGATAATAATGAATTGTTTTATTAGGCTCAAACAAAGTGAAGTAAAAGCAACGACTACACACAAACAAGACATCACCTACGAACTTTTCTTCTTCCATAAAAAAGCGCACATTCAATATTATAAAAAAAGCGAGTTAAGACATGCGCATATTCGTACTTAATTTACCAGGGTCATTCAGAAAGTAACGCATGCGCATTCTAAATAACCCTGGCACCAACTAAACAAACTACGGTTTTAAGCAATCATTCGATTGGAGACTACGTTTCGGAGACATACAAGCATACTTTTTGACAACTTACTCGAGCCACTTCCAAGGCTCTGTATCCGGACTTGCGATAGGCGTGGGAAACTGAACAGTAAATTATTAACATGTGGTGCGATTCAATGTCTAAATGGGGGAGGTTATTAATTTATACGGATTGTAAATGCCCATCCCTTCGTTATCTTTACCCCAATCTTGGCCACGATATATTTACAAAGGTGAAAAACACGTTAAAGCGAAGCAGGTGCGTAAACGCTTTCGGTAACGTTAGTCTGGCTGTACAATTTACTAAAAACAATCGAACAAACCTCCGCCTGCAAATCCGCCACCTTATCTTGAAGTTCGCGAATCCTCTCGTTATCGTCAACCGAATGACTGCGAAGCTCGCCCTCGGTCGCGATCTCTTCATTCTGAAACGCGTACCGGTTTAATCGGGGAAAACTTCGCAACGCCGGTTACCTTCAGTTCAAGTTGACTAATCTTCTGAGTTAGCTCGACGACGGCCTGCGTCTTTTCGGCGTCGCGAATTCGCGCGTTCATGAGCTCCTCCTGCATTTTCGTCTCGAGATCTTTGTAGCGGCGGTGCTCGTCGAGAAGTCGGGCGGCCGCGTCCCGATCGCGCAGCTCGCCCTTCTCCAGTAGGTCCTTCTGCTTCTTGATCTCTTCGTCCTGCCGCCGCAGCTGATTGGTGCTCACCTGCACCTGCGTTTCCAACTCCATCACTTTGAGGCGAAGCTCTTTCACTTCGGTCAGCGTTTCCATCTCTCGGAGACGGGTGGTCATCAGTTCCTCTTCGACGCGCTGCGTCTCGTTATGCCGATTCTCCCAGAAGAGGAGCTTCTTCGGCGTGCTCAACGCGTCACTCGATGGCGCCGACTCTTGCTTGTGGTCCTGCTGGTAACGAAATATTATGGATTACTTACTGTTACGATAACAAACCTGTAGGTGGCGCTGCCATTGATTGCTGAGCTCGGCGACTCGCTGCCGCAAGTCTTTTAACGACAAGTTCGCCTCTGCCTCCCTCAGTTTCACAGCGATTAATTCCTCCTGTAAGTGCGCGACGCTATTGTCCGGTGTCGTCTCCCTCAAGGTCTTCTTGTCCTCTTCCAATTCGTGAATGCGCGTCCGTAACTCACGCGTCAGTGCGTCATTCTCGGCCTCGCGAAGGCGCACCTTCACCAACTCCTCCTGTAGACACTCGATCATTTCCTCTCGCTGCTGCAACTGCTCCTGCTTCAGCGAGATCTCCTCGATCGAAGACTGTCGTGAAGTGTGCTGTATTTGATCGAATCAGCTAAATGAAAAAATCGCTCGTGACTTACGCTCTCTTCCATCATTAGAGACAGAGATCGGATCTTCTCGTTGGCGAGGGCGAGATGGTGGGTCGTCTCGAGATGCGTGTGTCTTAGCGCGTCCAGCTCCCTCTGCACGACGAACGTCGTCTCCTCCTCTTCGGCGCGACTCACCTGACCCCTGACTAGTCGATCGGCGAGCGCCTTGCTCTCCTCCTCCAGCATCTCGCATCGATGCCTTAGCTGCTTGTTTTCCGTGCGTAGCCTCTGTAAACACGCGACGGGTTAAAGTCGTCACTTTCGTCGAAGCTAGCAACCTTGAGTTCGGTCATTTCCTCTTGCTCCTTCGATTTAATTGCGTAGTACTCCTTCTCCAGTTTCTTCATTTTCTTCGAGTTGTACTTTATGTTGTAGGCGGATTGCATGAGACCTTCTGGGTCGGCCTCGGCGCGTGCGGGTAGATCCTTTTGGAAAAACTGAAAGGGAAAAAGATCGTGCTTCAGATTTTTCTTTCGGCACAAAAATAGCCCATTCTTCATTGCGAAGCACGACAGTAGCCCGTTTTGTGCCGCTCTCGCCCTTTGCTTGTTTAAATTTGTGTATTTCAGAAATTCGTGTACGGCACAAGGAACGTGACCGATTGTAGAGCGAGGTGAAGGTGAGTTCGGCACAAAAATAGCCCATTCTTCATTGCGAAGCACGACAGTAGGCCGTTTTGTGCCGCTCTCGCCCTTTGCTTGCTTAAATTTGTGTATTTCAGGAATTCGTGTACGGCACAAGACACGTGACCGATTGTAGAGCGAGGTGAAGGTGAGTTCGGCACAAAAATAGCCCATTCTTCATTGCGAAGCACGACAGTAGCCCGTTTTGTGCCGCTCTCGCCCTTTGCTTGTTTAAATTTGTGTATTTCAGGAATTTGTGTACGGCACAAGGAACGTGACCGATTGTAGAGCGAGGTGAAGGTGAGTTCGGCACAAAAATAGCCCACTCTTCATTGCGAAGCACGACAGTAGCCCGTTTTGTGCCGCTCTCGCCCTTTGCTTGTTTAAATTTGTGTATTTCAGGAATTCGTGTACGGCACAAGGAACGTGACCGATTGTAGAGCGCCGCTCTCGCCCTTTGCTTGTTTAAATTTGTGTATTTCAGGAATTCGTGTACGGCACAAGGAACGTGACCGATTGTAGAGCGAGCAAGGTGAGTTCGGCACAAAAATAGCCCATTCTTCATTGCGAAGCACGACAGTAGCCCGTTTTGTGCCGCTCTCGCCCTTTGCTTGTTTAAATTTGTGTATTTCAGGAATTCGTGTACGGCACAAGACACGTGACCGATTGTAGAGCGAGGTGAAGGTGAGTTCGGCACAAAAATAGCCCACTCTTCATTGCGAAGCACGACAGTAGCCCGTTTTGTGCCGCTCTCGCCCTTTGCTTGTTTAAATTTGTGTATTTCAGGAATTCGTGTACGGCACAAGATACGTGACCGATTGTAGAGCGAGGTCAAGGTGAGTTCGGCACAAAAATAGCCCACTCTTCATTGCGAAGCACGACAGTAGCCCGTTTTGTGCCGCTCTCGCCCTTTGCTTGCTTAAATTTGTGTATTTCAGGAATTCGTGTACGGCACAAGATACGTGACCGATTGTAGAGCGAGGTCAAGGTGAGTTCGGCACAAAAATAGCCCACTCTTCATTGCGAAGCACGACAGTAGCCCGTTTTGTGCCGCTCTCGCCCTTTGCTTGCTTAAATTTGTGTATTTCAGGAATTCGTGTACGGCACAAGATACGTGACCGATTGTAGAGCGAGGTCAAGGTGAGTTCGGCACAAAAATAGCCCATTCTTCAAAGCGAAGCACGACGGTGGTCAATTTTCGTGCCGTCCTCGCTCTTGGTACGTTTAGATTTCTGTTTCAAACAAATAAGCCAATCAGGCTACCGTGATGCTTTGCTTTGACGGCAAGGGCTACACTTGTGCTGAACTCGCCTTTGGCTCGCTCAGTAATAGCTCACGAACCAGTGGAAAGAGAGGATGTGATAGAAAAAGACAAACTAATAGTCGAGAAAGAGCTACCCTTACCTTCAGCATCCCTTCCATATCCAGGCACATGAGATCGGCTTTACCGAGCATAAGCATGGAGAGGGCCACTTTAAAAATGATCTCCATCCCTTCGGAGAGAAAGACGTCCATGATCCGACACGCGAGCGGCAACGAGAGCGCCGTCGTGAAGAGCGTCAGGAACCAGCTCGACGCGTACATCGAAGTGTGAAAGTTCTGCGACTGAAAGTGCTGATTTAAATCGGGCAAATGCTCAGAGACCAGGCTCTCGAGCTGAAACATGCACACGCCCAGCTCGGCCATCGTCGGCTTGAACATGTCTCGCATTCGATAGTCCTGCATGATCTTCACGAGCACCGCAAAGGCCTCCTCTTCGGGCATCTAAATTTGAATCAAATCTCCAATGGAGAATATGCTCGAGGATACTCACCTGCATGAGCAGTAAGCCGACAATAAACCCGGAACCTTGGCAGTAGCCGACCTCGCGGTCGTGCAGGGAGTACGCCTTGATAACGTTGAAAAGTGACTCCTGGCCCAGGCCATCTTTCTCCTTGAAGAAGTCGTGCTCGGGGTAGGTCCGCGCTATGTCCCTCCTTATCACTTTCTCGCAAGGGGATTTGGTCTGAAATTCGATTTCACGACAAATACTCGATTATCAAACTAAGTACCTTAATGTAATCGGCATACAATTTCTTCTCGGGCGCGTCCGTAGCCGAACAAAGTAGCTGCCACACGATCCCTCGAAAGTGCAACGGAATCCCCTTCTGCACCAGCTCCCTGACCTGCTGATTGTACTTCTTCCAGTTCACCTCCCAGTTGTTAACGATTCCTCCCCACACGCTCCACAGGTCCTCCTCGCCGCCATCCTCGATCCTGTCCTGGGTCGAGCTCGTTCCTGGTTCGTTCGATTAATTGATGCGACGCGCGCGGCGATTCGACTTACCCGAAGCGAGCGAAATCTGCGAGGTATCGGAGCTCTTCCGCGAGTGTCCCGACGCCGAATTTCCGCTCAGCGAGTTGAGCGACTTCGCATCGGACTCGAATAGTCGATTCGCCTCCTCCAGCTTGGCGAGAAGCTCCAGCTCGGCACCAGACGCGTGATTATTATTGTTGTTGTTATTGTTGTTGCAGGGCGAAGCTTCCAGCCTCATGGCCGTCGGTGGCATTGCGGAATAGCAGCCCCCATCTGATTCGACGACCAGACAACTCAGCGACGGGCTACCTCTGCAAAAAAAGCGTACACATACATTGGTATTGTGCGGTATTCCAATACAAGAGAATACCAAAGGATAACAGCCGCCTGATTTTGTCTTTCGTAAACAATTGAGAATCTCGCCTGACGCGATTGGTATTCATTACGCTAATAAAAGCTTCGAGTGATGCATCATGATGTTAGTAAACTACTAATAATAGCAGGTTGCGAACCACTTAGCCTTGTAATTGGTGATTCAGAACATGAAAAGAGAAGAACTTTCTTCCTGCTTCTTAATTTGTTTCGTGGGACGTCTGGCTCTGTCCTTGACGTCTCGTGCCAGTAAATTAATTGCGGGCGAGATTGTGTAACCTTTTCTCAATCGCCATAAGAAGAAAGTGTTATCACTTTCACCGCGAAGAGTTTCTAAACCAAAACGTTTCGTCGAAAATGCAATAAACGTGGCAAAAGTTCGTGGGTGGCGAATTTTCTACTGTCTTTGTGTCACCTCCGAAGGCTATAAATTCCTAATGCGCAATGATTCATTCTTGCAGGCGATATTGGTAAAAGGCCTTCGGCAATGAATTGGAGAAATGCGTAACTCCGCGTCTATCGGAGTCAAACCGGAGTAAAAAAAACGAGTTTGATTAGTAATTAATTTACGGGCTATAAGAATATTCGTTTAATATTAGGAGACATTTTTGGTGATTGCTTGAAGCGTGATCGCTGTAACGAAAATGTAACAAAATGAGAGCTTCGGAATGTACGGAATTTTTAAAAAATGTTCGCTGCAACGACGCCTTCCTCTTGGAGTAATAATTTCAGAAAAAATGATGAAGAGCATCCCCAAAAACCTGGGCGTTAATTCCATGCATCTACGTTTTAAAGAAGAAATGCAAAGTTTATTTCAAAAAATGTCTGTTTTGTTATATGCAATTGTTACACCCTGTATTCAAAAGCGGTTATTCATATTTCACTTAAACTTATCTGTTAGATAACTACCTAGGTGAACACATGCGATTTCATGTTTAAAGACCGGCACTTAACGTTCTAATTAAGTTCCCCATTAGTCATTAGTGTTCCTACTCTACCCCCCCCCCCCGACCGTATAGAGCCCTCAGTCATTATCGAGATCATTTTCAAGAGTCATCGCCCCCCAGGAAAACAGCTTCAATTGGATTCCCCTCAAAAATGATGACAAGTACTGAGAACTGTAAATGTTTTAAGGGGAGAAAGCGAAGCTCTTTCTCCTGGGGGGTATTCTATACCCCCAGACCCCCCGGTGGTACGCTTTCCTTCCATAACGTTCACAACCATCAATAGTAGTGGTGAAAATTAACCAGAGAGACCTATCGAAGCTCGATGGAAGTATGCACCACCGGGGGGTCTGGGGTGTAAACAGTTTCTATGGCTCTCCTCGAGAATTACGACAAGTACTGAGAATTGTAACTATTTTGAGGGGGGATAACCGGGAAGCAATCAAAATTCTTTTTCCTGGGGGATATTCCATGCCCCCCCCCCCAGGCTACGCTTTACTTCCATAACGTTCACCATCAATAGTAGTGGTGAACATTAACCAGAGAGACCTATCGAAGCTCGATGGAAGTATGCACCACCGGGGGGTCTGGGGGGTATGAAATACCCCCCAGTAAAAAGTTTCTATGGCCCTCCTAGAGAATTATGACAAGTACTGAGAATTGTAACTATTTTGAGGGGAGATAACCGGGAAGCAATCAAAATTCTTTTTCCTGGGGGATATTCCATGACCCCCCCCCCCAGGCTACGCTTTACTTCCATAACGTTCACCACCATCAATAGTAGTGGTGAACATTAACCAGAGAGACCTATCGAAGCTCGATGGAAGTATGCACCGCCGGGGGGGTCTGGGGGGTATGGAATACCCCCCAGTAAAAAGTTTCTATGGCTCTCCCTAGAGAATTATGAGAAAGTACTGAGAATTGTAACTATTTTGAGGGGAGATAACCGGGAAGCAATCAAAATTCTTTTTCCTGGGGGATATTCCATGCCCCCCCCCCAGGCTACGCTTTACTTCCATAACGTTCACCACCATCAATAGTAGTGGTGAACATTAACCAGAGAGACCTATCGAAGCTCGATGGAAGTATGCACCACCGGGGGGTCTGGGGGGTATGGAATACCCCCCAGTAAAAAGTTTCTATGGCCCTCCTAGAGAATTATGGCAAGTACTGAGAATTGTAACTATTTTGAGGGGAGATAACCGGGAAGCAATCAAAATTCTTTTTCCTGGGGGATATTCCATGCCCCCCCCCCAGGCTACGCTTTACTTCCATAACGTTCACCACCATCAATAGTAGTGGTGAACATTAACCAGAGAGACCTATCGAAGCTCGATGGAAGTATGCACCACCGGGGGGTCTGGGGGGTATGGAATACCCCCTAGTAAAAAGTTTATATGGCTCTCCTCGAGAATTACGACAAGTACTGAGAATTGTAACTATTTTGAGGGGGGATAACCGGGAAGCAATCAAAATTCTTTTTCCTGGGGGGATATTCCCCCCCCCCCCCCCAGAGCTACGCTTTACTTCCATAACGTTCACCAACCATCAATAGTAGTGGTGAACATTAACCAGAGAGACCTATCGAAGCTCGATGGAAGTATGCACCACCGGGGGGTCTGGGGGGTATGGAATACCCCCCAGTAAAAAGTTTCTATGGCCCTCCTAGAGAATTATGGCAAGTACTGAGAATTGTAACTATTTTGAGGGGAGATAACCGGGAAGCAATCAAAATTCTTTTTCCTGGGGGATATTCCATGCCCCCCCCCCAGGCTACGCTTTACTTCCATAACGTTCACAACCATCAATACTAGTGGTGAACATTAACCAGAGAGACCTATCGAAGCTCGATGGAAGTATGCACCACCGGGGGGTCTGGGGGGTATGGAATACCCCCTAGTAAAAAGTTTATATGGCTCTCCTCGAGAATTACGACAAGTACTGAGAATTGTAACTATTTTGAGGGGGGATAACCGGGAAGCAATCAAAATTCTTTTTCCTGGGGGGATATTCCCCCCCCCCCCCCCAGAGCTACGCTTTACTTCCATAACGTTCACAACCATCAATACTAGTGATGAACATTAACCAGAGGGACCTATCGAAGCTCGATGGAAGTATGCACCACCGGGGGGTCTGGGGGGTATGGAATACCCCCCAGTAAAAAGTTTCTATGGCTCTCCTCGAGAATTATGACAAGTACTGAGAATTGTAAATGTTTTGAGGGGAGAATTCATATCCGGGAAGCTCTTTTTCCATGGGAGGATTTCATGCCTGATATTTATATGAATATTTCTCAATTAGTGCTAATTAACAAATGGATTTGCCCCTTAGCAATAACTGCCAGATACATGTGACAATTAACGCTAATTGATAAACAGATCTGCCCTTTACATTTTCTTAGAGATTGCCTTCTTTTTTGAAAATGCAAAATTTGTTTAATTCCTGTACTGAAGCTCTGGAGGAAGCTCTTTCACTGCGAAAGGCATTAAAAATTGCATTAAATCCCGGTCGATGGCAATACTTCCGCCTCCTCCCGCCTCCTCCCACCTCCGTAAAGCCGAAAGGCAAATTTCCATTATCGCAATGGCTTTCGGACTTGCATCCGAAAGGATTATATTGTTCCCAGTTGTTAGATTCGGTTTAATTTTAATGAAGGAATTTTCTCGTACGCCCCAAATACATTACAAACGAGGACGTCGTTAAATTTGAACGACGACGTATAAAACATTTTACTGTCGCGCGTCCCCTCGAGGAACGTTCCATCGACGTATGGGAGACCCCGCCGACATTGTAAAAATTGTTGAAATTTACGAGTCCCCCTTCGTACTATCCGAACCAATTTCGGAATCGTCTAAAATGTTTATGATTGAACCGTTACGGAGGAAGTGTATTAATCGGACGTCGTCGTCGTAAATAAGCGTCGGGATGCGCGACGTCGAATTTCTTTCGCGTAAATCAAGCGTATTTTCGATGTTGACGTTTGTGTCGATAACGAACGTTTCAATTTTTTCTTTGTTTCGTTCCTCTACGTCAACCCACTTTCATTTTGATTGAGCCAACTGTTCTTTTTCTTACAGGGGGGCCAAGTCCTGCTGTCCCAATTCGAACTTCTAAGATCGCAGTGACTCAGGTTAAACGCAGTGCCGTAACTCGTAAGTAACCCTAGCCTCGTTACGCTTTTATTTGGGATCTTCGTCTCTGAGGTCCTCCAAATCTCGTGCTGGGTCCAGAGCCTGTGACTAAATTTTAACACAGCAAATTAAGACCACTAGCTAGTCTCGTGCCTTCAATCCGACAGACTAGGAGAGGTTTCCATTTCTATGAAATTAATTTCCTTCGAGGAAATGAAATCCGTCGCCCACGGGATGGGCAAATGAAACGTGCACATAAATTTACGTCGCGCGCGGTCCAATTCCTCCAAATTGTACCTCGCCTCGCGAGTTTGCAATTGAATTACAAATTGCAATTAAAAATAGAACGCGATACGGACGGTTAATCCTCTCGTGAAGAGGTTTAATAGGCACTCGAAAGAAGTGCCCCTTTTACACGATAACCTGAATGCTCCACTTCCTCTATTTAAGACGTTCAAAGGCTCATTTACATCAATGTATCGATTCTGGAGAAGTTTGCTATGAAAAAAACACTCGTCGATTGTTTTTTGAGTACTTAACCTCCATAAAACGGATATAGACGAGTTAATCGATACTTCATACATTCCATTCCATGAACTACTTTGTCCACTATCGATTTGGGACCAACCCAACGTACTTGGACGAACAAAGAATTGCAGAGGAAAGGTCAGCTCTCTTTTCGACCCATCATAAATAAAAACGGTCCAATTACGATCCCCGGAGGCCTTTTCTATTAAACTAATTGCACTTTCGCAATTCGGTCAACTTTATTAACAGTAAAAACCTAGAGCAAGTGAAAATTTATTGCAGATAAACCGGAATGAGTGCGTGTTCATACAAATTGAATGTCTACCCCACAGGACAAGAAGTTTCTATGACTCTCCCTCGAGGATGATAATGGCAAGTATTGATGGCCGTAACTGTTGAGGTGGGGTATTTCATACCCCCAGCCCCCTCGGCCTTCCCAGACCCAGTACGTTCTTGTTTCAAAACGTATAGAACTGTCCCTATTTGTGGTAGTCATGTTCCAAAGAGCATTCCATAGCCAACTCCACCAGGAAAAGGAGCTTCCATGGTTCTTCCTAAAAATGATCACACGCAGTGGGTACTGCGAATATCTTGAGGGGAGTATACATGACCGGGGGGTCTGGAATACCCCCCAGGCAAATGAAACTTTAACGACTCTTCATCGAGAATGAAGATGACAAGTATTGAGGGCCGTAACTGTTGGGGAGGTGGGAGATCACACCAAAGTTCCCTTTCCTGGGGGGTATTCCATACCCCCCAGACCCCCCGGTAGTACGTTCTCGTTTCAAAACGTATAGAACTGTCCCTATTTGTAGTAGTCATGTTCCAAAGACCATTCCATAGCCAACTCCCCCAGGAAAAGGAGCTTCCATGGTTCTTCCTAAAAATGATAACACGCAGTGGGTACTGCGAATATCTTGAGGGGAGTATACATGACCGGGGGGTCTGGGGGGTATGGAATACCCCCCAGGCAAATGAAACTTTAACGACTCTTCATCGAGAATGAAGATGACAAGTATTGAGGGCCGTAACTGTTGGGGAGGTGGGAGATCACCGCGGAGCCACCAAAGTTCCCTTTCCTGGGGGGTATGGAATACCCTCCAGGCAAATGAAACTTTAACGACTCTTCATCGAGAATGAAGATGACAAGTATTGAGGGCCGTAACTGTTGGGGACGTGGGAGATCACCGCGGAGCCACCAAAGTTCCCGTTCCTGGGGGGTATTCCATACCCCCCAGAGGTACGTCATCGTTTCAAAACGTATACAACTATCCCTATTTGTGGTGGTCATGTTCCAGAGAGCATTCCATAGCCAACTCTCCCAGGAAAAGGAGCTTCCATGGTTCTTCCTAAAAATGATCACACACAGTGGGTACTGTGAATATCTTGAGGGGAGTATACGTGTCCGGGGGGTCTGGGGGGTATGGAATACCCCCAGGCAAATGGAACTTTAATGATTCTTCATGAAGAATGAAGATGACAAGTATTGGGGGCCGTAACTGTTGGGGTGGTGGCATATCACCGCGGAGCCACCAAAGTTCCCTTTCCTGGGGGGTATTCCATACCCCCCAGACCCCCCGGTGGTACGTCATCGTTTCAAAACGTATAGAACTATCCCTATTTGTGATGGTCATGTTGCAGAGAGCATTCCATAACCAACTCCCCCAGGAAAAGGAGCTTCCATGGTTCTTCCTAAAAATGATCACACGCAGTGGGTACTGCGAATATCTTGAGGGGAGTATACATGACCAGGGGGTCTGGGGGGTATGGAATACCCCCCAGGCTAATGAAACCTTAACGACTCTTCATCGAGAATGAAGATGACAAGTATTGAGAGCCGTAACTGTTGGGGTGGTGGCAGATCACCGCGGAGCCACCAAAGTTCCCTTTCCTGGGGGGGTATTCCATACCCCCCAGACCCCTCGGTGGTACGTCCTCGTTTCAAAACGTATAGAACTATCCCTATTTGTGGTGGTCATGTTCCAGAGAGCATTCCATTTCAAACTCCCCCAGGAGAAGAAGCTTCGATCGTTTTTCCAAAAACATCTCTGGGCGTAGGCAACCCCCTATCTACTGTAAATTCTGAAGACGAAGAGGATGCATCACCATCGAAGCTCCTTTCCCTTGTACAATGTCGTGCGCGATAAATGAAGTAAAACCCAACGACCAGCGTGATAGAAGCGAATTTCCTAAAATGCTAAAGTAAGTACAGTCACTGACAGAATTAATCGCCTTCGGTTACATGAACCGTGCAGAGTGACCAGCGTAATAGTCGTGCAAATATGGCAATGATACGAATAGTTGCGTACTCGTTAGCAATTGGGCCTGCTCACCGCAAAATGAAGTCATTAATTATGTCAGTCACTGTACGTTTTCGCCTTCGCTCGAACATCTCATGAATACGCATCCGACAGCTTCGGCATAAGATAAAGATACGCGCTAACCTACACCAATAAAATCGCCATTATCGCCCAATCTCGCATCGCAAAACTATGTAAATTCGGGCCCATCTGTCGACTCTCTAAGCCGAATATAAATGGGCCCGGGTGCATTTGCATTCATCGCATCGCGGCAGTCGATACTCACCGCTTTCTCGGTTTGCGCGTGTACCAATATCGAGATGAGACGAACTTCTGCAGGACCATGCCATCCGTTTCCTCGGCGGACACAAAGCGGAGAGACTTAGAAAGGCGAACCGTTTACCGTTGCGTTACTGTTACTCGAGTGCGTCACGCCCGCCCAAAAGAAGGAAGGACCCGTTTCCACATTATTTTAATTAGCAGAATTCATTTCGGTAATTACGCAATAAATCATCGCACGAGACTTATTGAACGGCCCCCGTACACGACACATTTCGCTATGGACTATTTTTATCGCACGAATTTCTATAAACAGGGAGCGATAAGTATTTTTAAGAAACTAAATATTTACAATGATGTACGAGGTCGCTCCGAAAAAAAAACGCGCGCGTTCTGGCCCCGATCGAGATTCAACGAGAGCGTTAAATTTAATAATTTAAAGACAATTGAGCTTCGTTACGCCACATAATTACGGAATTTGCAGTTGAAGGTTAATGCATGTTTGATGTACGGATTCAGCGCATTACAATTCAATTAATAATAATTGATACCTTAATTTAATGTCTGCAATTAATTCCCTAAAATTACCCTTCAGCTGGTAATTAATTACGTGTTAGCAGCATTCCTGGCTTTTTGGAATCTTACACATCCACAATTCCGAAAATTCAAGAATTTTTTAAACTCTGGTGAATGTTCTATTCGAAAAATTCGATCACTCGACAAACACTGGGTTATTTCGAAAAAGGAAGAGCCGCTGAAGCTGCTTTTCCTGGGGGGTATTTCATACTCCAAGACCCTCTTGTGATACGTTCTCCTTCCAAACGTTTAGAACCACCCACATTTCTGGTGATCATGTTCGGGGGAGAGACAACTTGAGAGAAGTACCTACACATCACCGGGGGGTACCCCCCAGGCAAAAGAAGATTCGATGGCTTTTCCTCCAGAATGATGCAGACAAAAATGTATTTAAATGATTTGGGGGAAAGATGCATCACAGGGTAACCATCGAAGTTCCTTCTCTCCTGGGGGATATTCCATACTCCCCAGACCCCCCGGAGATATTTTCTCGATTCCAAACGTTTACATCACATCACCGGGGGGTCTGGGGGGTATGGAATACCCCCCCAGGCAAAAGAAGATTCGATAGCTTTTCTTCCAGAATGATGCAAACAAAAATTTATTTTAATGACTTGGGGGAAAGATGCATCACAGGGTAACCATCGAAGTTCCTTCTCTCCTGGGGGGGTATTCCATACCCCCCAGACCCCCCGGAGATATTTTCTCAATTCCAAACGTTTACATCACATCACCGGGGGGTCTGGGGGGTATGGAATACCCCCCAGGCATAAGAAAATTCGATGGCTTTTCCTCCAAAATGATGCAGACAAAAATTTATTTAAATGATTTGGGAAAAGATGCATCACAGGGTAACCATCGAAGTTCCTTCTCTCCTGGAGGGTATTCCATACCCCCAGACCCCCCGGAGATATTTTCTCGATTCCAAACGTTTACATCACATCACCGGGGGGTCTGGGGAGTATGGAATACCCCCCAGACAAAAGAAGATTCGATAGCTTTTCCTCCGGAATGATGCAGACAAAAATTTATTTAAATGACTTGGAGGAAAGATGCATCACAGGGTAACCATCGAAGTTCCTTCTCTCCTGGGGGGTATTCCATACCCCCCAGACCCCCCGGAGATATTTTCTCAATTCCAAACGTTTACATCACATCACCGGGGGGGGGGGTATGGAATACCCCCCCCCCCCAGGCAAAAGAAGATTCGATAGCTTTTCCTCCGAAATGATGCAGACAAAAATTTATTTTAATGACTTGGAGGAAAGATGCATCACAGGGTAACCATCGAAGTTCCTTCTCTCCTGGGGGGTATTCCATACCCCCCAGACCCCCCGGAGATATTTTCTCGATTCCAAACGTTTATATCACATCACCGGGGGGTGTGGGGGTTATGTAATACCCTCCAGGCAAAAGAAGATTCGATGGCTTTTCCTCCAGAATGATGCCGACAAAAATTTATTTAAATGACTTGGGGGAAAGATGCATCTCAGGGTAACCATCAAAGTTCCTTCTCTCCTGGGGGGTATTCCATACCCCCCAGAGATATTTTCTCGATTCCAAACGTTTATATCACATCACCGGGGGGTCTGGGGGTTATGGAACACCCCCCAGGCAAAAGAAGATTCGATGGCTTTTCCTCCAGAATGACGCAGACAAAAATTTATTTAAATGTCTTGGGGGAAAGATGCATCACAGAGTAACCATTGAAACACCTATTCTCCTGGGGGATATTCCATACCGCCTAGGTCCCCGGCGGTGATCGTGTTCGAGAGAAAGCCCTGAAAAATCCTTTTCATGGGGAGCATTCCCGCCCAGGAAACGAAAGTTCTATCGCGCTCTTTGTAACTGTGAGGGAGTAAGTACAACCACGGCAGTTTTCAATGTCCACTCTTCCAGAGATTTTCGGGAATAAAAGTAGCCCAATTAAATCGAAAAGCCTATCCGAAAACAACCTCCGTTAGAATTTGGAAAATTTTCGGCACAATGTAGACCCTTAAGCTAATTAGCTAATAAAATTTTGATGGAAGACCGTCACTGGCGCATGTTTTTCTGTCCGATTTACTACTGTGGCCGCCTCTTTCCTTTTCGGGAGCTCGCAAACAATCTCGACTCGTAAAAATGCCGGGAATGGGCTTTAAAAACGCGAAACTACGTAAACAACTGAAATAAATTTTTAAAACGACCCGATCCCCGAAAACTTTCGGAGGAGCCTCACAAAAAACTTATCCCATTATCTCGTACCATTAGAGCGACAATAAAAAAGCGCAATCTAATTTCGATATCTCCCAAAAAATGAGAGAAACTGTTGCTTGGGAGGGGATTTATGGCAATTTAAGCCGCTCTCGGGGTAATGGCGATTGAATCCGTTATCGTAACGTGCAAAAAAATATTTACAAACTGGGAACGAGCGGGATTAATCAAACGGAACGGGATGACATCAGCCGATCTCGTTTTTTTATCGCGTCGTACGCGCACAAAAATTTTCACTATTTCCACCGGGAAATTGGCGCGTACGCGGACAAGCGGAAAAGCCGCCCTCAGTCGGAAGGGGCAGCGTCAACTCTGAAATGTATCGCATCGGTCGGGAACGCTCGGAAACTCCAGGCAGAATCCGAAAGGAGCCCGTTCGATAAAGGGTGCAGAATTGATGCACAATCTTCATAATTGACACTAATTGGCGTTAACCTGCACCCCCACCCCCCATCTTTGCAAGGGTCGAAAATCCCCCAGTCGAGAGAAATAACGGGGGGGAAGGTCGAGGAAATTTATAAACAAGTAGGAAGATTGCACACAAAGGGGCCGTGAACGTCTTCGGGAAAATATGGTTTTCGGGCACGTTTTCCTGCATTTTTAAAGGAGGAGAATAGGTAAAAGGGACGCTTATTATACTTTATTTGTTGTCCCAGAGCTCCGATGTTATTTATTGCGACGTCGTGCAAATGCGAACCGCGATTTATTTATCCGGCACGAAAATTTGCTATCGATCGGTCCTCCGGCAGCATCGGCCGAGATGGCAAATCGAAAGCAACGGTCCCGAGTGCTGTGTGAGATTAAAATGCATCTGACAAAATGCGCGGAATTTACTAAAATGCAGCACCGGCGACACTTGCCCTCAAAAGGGGAGATATCAAGATGTGGAGGAAGCTTGAGAAAGGTTTCAATGCGGAGTGAAAAGAAACGTCTTACATATTTCCATCCGCCTCCTTCACCCCAACGGTGCTACGTTCCTATCACACTCTCAAAACGTTTACAACACCAGCGCAACCGAAATAGCTTAGTAAATGGTTGGGTTATAAAGGGAGGAGGCAAACATTTAAAGACCGCCTGGCATACATTCAAAATCCTCCGACACTCCATTCTGCAGATTTTGCCTTTGAGAGTACTTTCCTCCGACCAATCGTTTTCGAGATATTCGCTCTTAAAGTTTTGACATCACCAATGGAGATATATTTCTTACAGACGTCTCAATCGCCTTTTGTGAGTACCCTCTTCCAACAATCCGTTCTGGAGATATAAGGGAATATATCCGATCACGATAAGGGGTCGAGGAGGTGGACTATAGTTCGTAGAAATTAATTTCTTTCGTTGAGACCTTTCATTAGAGTACCATGAAGAATAAAACCAGTTCCACTCTCCCCCCCCCCCCCTCCAGATAAAGAGCATACTTACATACATCCCAATCACCTCTCTCCGGACAATCCGCTCTTGAGACATAATGAATTAGGTATATCCGATTACGATAAGGGATCGAGGATGGTTATGGTTGGTAGACATTAATTCCTTTCGTTGAGACCTTTCATTAGAGTACCATGAAAGATAAAACCAGCCCCCCCCCCCCGATTTTGATAAGGGACAAGAAAGAACAGTTCCTATTGTTGAGACCTTTAAATAGAATACCATGAAAGATAACTCTCTCCTCAACCCCACCACCCACTGATCACGAAAAGGAGTGGTGCAGAGAAGATATAGTTTGTAAAAAGCAATTCATTTCGATGAGACCTCTCATTAGAATACCATGAAGGGCAGAACGTGTGTTCACCCCCCCCCCCCACACACACACACACACCCTCTCATGTTAAAAGTTTTAGTTGCCACTACTAAACGAAAGTTTATGCAAAATGTGAGACCAATTAGTTGTTAAGTACGGAAGGTCTGGAATGCCTCCCAGGAAAAGAAAAACTGAAAGCGATCATGAACGGCCGGGGGGGGGGGGGCTGAAGATATTCTGAAGCATGAAGGTAATACCAAGGAAGTCTGGGGAGTATACCTCTCAAAAAGAAAAAAAAATTGATGACTAGACGATTATGAAAGCCCGGGAGGCTGAAGATAAACTGAAGCGAGACAGTAATAAATACCGAGGGGGGAGGGGGGAGGGGGGGGGGAAATACTCCACAGGAGAAGAAAAGGTTGATGACTCTTTAGACGATGATGAAAGTGCGGAGGGATGAAGCAATAAGGTAATACCGAGGGGATCTGGGGAGTATAATATATCCCAGGAAGACAAAAAATTGATGACCTTAGACGATCATGAAGGTGCGGAGGGCTGAAGATATTCTGAGGTGAGGTAATACCGGGAGACCTGGAATACCCTCCGGAAAGAGAAAAACTGAAAGTCCATGGAACTGAAGATATTCTGAAGCAAGAAGGTAATACCGCGGAGGGGGGAGGGGGGGGGGTATCCCTCCTAGGAAGAAAAAAATTGATTACTAGATCATGAAGGTACAGGGGACTGAAAATA